AGGTGGCGCTCGCCCGGCAACAGAGCGCCGCCAGCGGTCGATGGAGGGGGGGGGGGGGAGGTACGGCGGACGGCGCAGTAACAGCCGACTGAGCCTGCCGCGGCGGCTCGCTCCGAGCGCCGCCGTCCGTACGGGTAGTGGGAGTGCGTGGGCAGCCGGCCGACAGAGATTACGCCGCGCCCGTACGCAGACGGAGGGCGGGGCGGGGCGGGGCGGGGCGGCTGCCGCGATCGAGCGGGGCGCCGCCGGAGCCGGCCGCCGGACCGGTCCAATTTGGAGCTGCTGCTGAACTGATTTAGTGGCGGCGGTGGACCATGAGCGCCGCCCGCTGTGATATACGCTATCGGCAACCGGGCCGGGCCGGCCACCTGTACGGCGCTGCGACCCCTGTCCACAGCAGAGCGGGCGGGTCACGTCTGCCTCTCGGTCTCCCGGGGAGGAGCGGTGGTCTGAGGACCGCGGCACGTCTCTGTCTCGGCCTCCGAGGACTGTCTCTCTGTCTCTGTGGTCTGTCCCAGCGGCTGCGGCGGGGCCATGTCCGTTGTCGATGACGGATGCTGCGGACCATCTCTGGTCTCTGCGGTGTGGGAGAGAATCAGAGTGGTGACGAATACAGCCTCTCCGAACGACTGACTAATCATTGGCACCTCGAAGCACGGAACACACAGAGCGCAATCAGAGCACGAGATTCATGTAGGCGTACCTTAGAGACAGTCTGCTAGTAATATCTCAGTAGTAACTCGGGAGGGGGAGGGGGAGGCGGGTCACGTCGGTGACGTCCGGTCCGATTTGGACGGGCTGAAGCGCTGAGACAGTTTGACACATCTGATCGATGGCAGCGCTGGACGTCGGAGACGGTCGGATGGCGCAGTCACGGCGCGCGTGCGTCACTTCCTCGAGCGACCGCCGAGACTGCGGCTCCCGGCCGGTCCGACCCTCCCAGTCGGTCCGGTCCGCTGCTCGCCGGCCGTTGACTCGCTCCAGTGTGCGTCGATGAGTCACCGCACTCGCAGTGCGTCGGCCGGGTGCGCTGCGATCCATACGTGATCGAGCCGCCGGCCGTGGGGTCGGTGCGGCCCGCTGTTGAGCCGCGGGGTCGGAGCGGCCCCGCTGTCGAGCCGTGGGGTCGTTGCGGCCCGCTGTCGAGTCGCGGGCCGCGGGGCTGGAGTGCCCCGCTGTCGAGTCGCGGGCCGCGAGGTCGGAGTGCCCTGCTGTGAGAGCGGGGCCGCGGGGGTCGGAGCCACCCGTTGTGGGACCGGGGCCGGAGGTGCGCCCCCCGTTATGGGACCGGGGCCGGAGGTGCGCCCCCCGGGCGGACCCAGCGACAGATGGATGATGAGCGGCCCGCCCCCCGCGTCTGACAGACGGAGAGCGGTCAGATTCTGGGTCGTTCCGTGCGATTTGGTGTGACCTATGCGTGTCTGGCACACAGAGCCGGCATAGGCCGCCTTCCGTGGCGGTCTGGAGTGGACGCACTGACATGGCTATTGGCGAGGAACATAGCTATCCACTAGCATGGTCATGGCGTATGTGCCGCTTAACAAGGTTGTCAACGCACTGCCCGTGGTCTAGCACACCAGGCAGGAGTGGCTGACATATACCCTGTGACACAGTTGCTTTTGTGCCTCGTTTAAAGCGACCATCCCACCTTAACATTAGTTTTGAGTTGAGGTAGCCAAAATGTGGTCCCTTGCTTGCACTTACCGGTTTGAGCACTCACAAGATCGAGAAATGCCTCAAATCGAAAATATTTGATTTCAAAGTTGCAGCACTTGGATTCAGAGGGGCTAGGATTCGCACTTGGATTCAGAGGGGCTAATGCATTAGAATACCCCCTCTGAATGTGCGACATCAGCGCAGATCTAACGATCTTAAATCTTTTACTAAAACGTTTGGTAGCATGCAGTGGTATATGCTGCTTTGTGCGCAACAAGTGCCGCACTTTCAAATAAAGTCGCTAGGAACAGCGGGGATCCCAAAAAGTAAACAAAAGTAAAAGTCTAATGTCTTGAAAATCGGTGAATATTTTTTCGATGAAATTTGGTGGATATTCGTTTTCGCTCTTTCTGAACCGAGCGACATCACTTTCATGCCAATTCATTAACTTTTTTGAAGGTGGGAGGGTCCCTTTAGGCTTTTGCTGGTATTCAGAAGCTTCCTTGTCTACCTCAATACCTAGGCACATACCTTTTGTATTGCACATTCTTGTGAAGTGCTTCTCGGGTCACATTCCAGGAAGCCTGTCGGCGTGAAACGTGAAACCGGGCTAGATTTGCTAAGCGATAACCTGGACGGCAATGCTCATATATGATTCTGGATGAGGTCTCTGAAGTGGCTGCCGGACTGCGGGATTCGCAGGCTCACATTTGCATGGAACGGACTTCCTGCAAACCATGGCGGCCGCACATTGGGTATTCTGCTCGGAACGCTGCACTACTGTATCCATGCGGAACCAAAGCCATGGCGCCCGATATGCGTCATTCATCATAATTTATTGCCGCACGGTGATCGCTGTGTCAATTGTGAGGTGCTGCAGGTTCTAATGGAGTACCGGCCACGCTGCGGCTTTATGCCAGACAAATTCGTTTTTAATTGGCCGGTATCGGTACCATGAAGAGTTCCTTCCCAACATCATTTTACTAAATATGTAGTGCCCGGAACGGAAGCGACGGTATGATTGCTCGGTCCACTGTCGTGGGAAGTCTGGGCGGCCAGTTCCCGACTGACCGCCCCTCTGGCATTGTGGGCCTCTGTTGTCTACTTCCATTCCATATTTATGGAAACAGTTACCCTTTTGTTACTACTTTGTTCATCCAGTTTGAAAGACTTCATATATTTATATGCTCCACGACATGTCAACATTTCGCCGCCTCCTCCGCCGTTCTTTGCAAAGTCAACACGCCGGTTTATATTGATGGTACGGAGCTGTTTGTGCAGGGTCCGAGTTTTATTCGTTTGTTTGTTTTCGTGTTTGGTAAGCAGGGCGCTGCGGCGGCGGTGGCCGGGCCTCTGTTGACACAGCCGCCGGCCGGTCGGCTGGTGAGCGCTGCGGCGAGCTGCCGGGCCCCGGCCGGCCGCGCTGCCGCCTCTGAGGCAGGCGACTGTCTCCACCCGGCGCGCTGCCAACACCGGCTGTTTGAAATGTGACCCGACCGGCACATCAGTCGGCCGCCGACCCTCCGTCTCCAGCTCCGGCTCAGCAAACTCTCTGTCCTCGTCGTCTCTGTCTTTGGCTCGGTCTCCGTCTCTGCCTCTGTCCCCAGTTCCGTCTGAGAAAATCTTCTGTCGGCTATCCTCGTCTCTGTCTCTATGATCAGCTCAACATCTGCATCGGATACGGTCTCTGTCTGTCCCTGTCTGTTTCCCCTGTCGTCCCTTTTTACCCACGCCGTGTTCTCTGAGGCGACATTTTCGCTCAATCTACATACCTCTCTCACCAGTGTTTCATTTTTCAGCCTTTTTGGTGGCAAATCACACCTAATGGGGAAAATATTTTCATCCCTAAAATATGAATGACCAGCTTTACTTCATCTCTGAAAAGAGTTTCATGTATTCCTTACAGCCAGTTCACTTGTCACTTGACAGTTGATGCACCCACATCTTTTTGTTCCACACCCTGTCAAGATCCTGACATGAAATCCTGGTTTATCAGTTAGCATAAAAATTGGCATTACACCATTTTGAAAAAATACTGCAGTTATTTACTTTCTTTTTTTCATCCTAGGATTTTTTCTTCATCGGCACACCCAACCAATATCCAATTTTAGAACACTGTCTCTCACATACGTGTATGCTGTTTGTCTCCGCCTATGTCCCCCAGTTCATGTGTGCAGTGTGCTAGCCGATAGCCGACGGCCGCGGCTGGCTGCCCCAAGTTCCACCTAGTAACAAGCCACGTATCAGCATCCTGAGTCGCGGCTGTTACCACGGGGTCTGAAGTCGGTGCTGTCTCCTGGCGTTCCAAGCGCGGTCTTCCAGCGCTGGAAGAACGTGCTGAACTGGAGCTGGTAGGGCTACTGTGCCGGGTTTCAGCTTCTCGACTCTGGTGTTTCCAGGCGGATTTGAGCCGTTTTCCCAGCAGGCTATTCTTGCCAAACTTTCTGAATTATTTTCCATCGCTGAAGCTGTCGTAATCTTCCAATACTTGGCGGGGGAAATCAATGAAGGGTTTCTTAAATCAATGTCTATGATCAAATTTGTATGACGCGCTGATAAGACACTGAAATCCTGGACCAGAAATAACCGAAAAATGGTGCCAGAAACGAACATTTACTCTGCGGATCTTCACGTGCAGAGTCCCGATCGAGTCACCCTGTAGGGGCGGCAACCTCAACTGCTGACTTGTTGGACCTTCGACTGCCGGTCACAGCATTCCGTGCCTCCTCTGCACCGTGCACGTCAGTAGTGTGCACTGTCCAGCCCTGATCGGCCGTCCCAGGCGATCCTGTGACGTCACTGGTGACACGATGTTGGACCGGCCCGGAGACAGGCCGACCCCGGACAACACGGGACTTCTATCGAGAGATAATTCGCTTTTTCCTGTTTGGCCGCGCCGACTGCGGTCGGTGTTTGGCAGCCAGCCGCTGCTGCCGGGCTGCCGAGCTGCCAGCGCCTCCGCCGTTTACATGCCTCCTCCACCTGTATCGGTGCAGGGGGCGGGGCGCCGACGTGGTGCCGTTCCCCGCCCGGCGCACCGTTCACCTGCCGACCTGTACTGCGCCCGCGGCGCCCCGCGCAGAGCTGACACGGCGCCGACGGATTCGGGCGACCCCGGTGACCCTGGCGCCGCCCGTCAGCCCACCATTTATCACTTAAGCCGGTGTCGGCGCAGCCCGGCGGCCGGGGACCAGGGACCGAGCTGCACGGGCCGGGCCGGCGGCCGCAGTCGCGCCGGCCGGGGGAGCGCGGCCGCCGGGGGCCCACCCACGCGTCGCCGTCGCCGCGGTGCCCCGCGCTGCGCACGCCAGTCGGTCCGGGGGCCGGGGCACGCGGCGCTCGGCCGGCCAGTGCGGCCGCTGTGATTGGACTGTGAGCGGGACGTCTGCTGCTCGGCGGGTGTCGCTGTGCTGAGGCCGGGAGTACTACCGGACGCGGCACGACCCAGTCTCGCAGCTGCTCGAGTGACGCCCGGAGCTGGCGTGACGCGCTCCGAGTGACGGTCCGTCACCGGGTGGCCTTTGGCGTACTCCCGACTACTACACCTGAGCCGACGAGCTGTGTATGTGTGTCAGTAGAATGCCGAGCGGTGACTGGTGGGCTCAGTTTCCAGCCGCAGTGACTTGCTCCCCGGTCCCGGCTGAGTCGCTGGATGGCTCCGTCCACAGTGTTTGTTGACGGCCGCCCGATGAGCCGTCTCGGCAGTGCTCGGACTAGTGAAGTGCGCGTGTTCCCTCCGCGCCCGCTGTGCTCTCTGCCAGCCCGTGGCGCTGCTAACCTCTGACTGAAGTGCCGGGCCGAAGTGGGCGGCCATCATTGAGGTCAAAATGATCGTGAGCGTTAAGTCGCAAATTGGAACAAATTTGCTGGCGGCCGACTAACAAGAAGTGCACTGGGCCGCGGGGAGGCCGGGACGGCCGGTGCCGAGTCGCCCCCGACAGGCGGGCTCGGCGGGACGAGTAGGCTGCTCCGAGTTCACTGAGCGTCAGTGTGCACTGTGCCTGGCTCAGTGAGTGGGAGTGCGAGCTATTGTTAGCTCAGTGAACAGCGCTGAGCTTCCCAAGCTTAGTGAGGGGTGGTGTGAGTTGTCCCGGGCTCAGTGAGCGACTGTGAGTTCAGTGAGAGGCAGTGTGAGCTACTCTGAGCTCAGTGGCAGCGTACCGCGGATCGGACTGCAGCGGGCGGCATTTGGAGTGCGCGTGCTGTGGCGTAAGTGCTCGTGAATCGTGTTCGAACCAACGGACGGCAGCTCAGGCCGGCAGAGGTCTGGCTGAACGCTAGTGATTGGGTCCATCCGCCCTCTGCTCAACAAGCAAGTCCGAGCACTCGGCTAGTAAGCGGCGGGTGGTCACGGCACGGCACCATTCAGCCTACTAGGGAGCACGTCTCCATTCAGCTCCTCGGTGGCCATCCCGTGCGTCCGGCGACTGTCCAGTGACTGTCCTGTCACTCCCCGGCGACCGTCCGGCGGCCGGATGGGTGCCATGGAGGCGCGCATGAAGCTCGGCTGGCGCTCGCTGCTGCCGTGGCCGTCGGCTCGACACGCCGACACGGCGCCGGCCTGGAGCGAGCCGTCGGCCGCGCGCGCCCGGCCCGTGCCCACCTACGTGCTGCGCAGGTATATACGGGGGGGGGGGGTGAGAGGGTACACGGCGCAGACGGGGCAAGTGCGGCCCCCTGGGTACACGGCGCAGTGGGAGCAGTTATAATTCCCAGGGTACGCCGCTCAATGGGGGCGGGCACAACTCTTGGGGTACGTGACGTAGTGGGGGCAGGTTGGCTTCCCAGAGTATGTGGCGGGGGATAGGTATTCGTAGGAGCACGCCGCTAAAATTGAGGCATGGGCTCCTCAAGCTTATAAACCAGTGTAGAAATCGAAGCAAGATGCTAATGAGTAGTTACAGGAAATCTTTCGGCACATATAGTTGTTAGGTGTCTGCACTGGTTCTTATATTGGTGCAGGCTGGGCTGTGTGGCTGCCGGCACAGGTGCAGCTCTATTCTCCGCCGCCTGTTGCCGAGGCGGGGTGACCGTACAGGTAGTGAGGCGGCCTTGCCGGGGCACAGGTGCTCCCTGGTGGTGCGGGGCCGGGCGGCAGTGGGCCGTCTCCCGGTGTCCCGGGCCGGGTCGGTGTCGGGCCGGCTAGAGTTGCAGGTGGTCCTGAGCCGGTCGGCTCAGGTTCGGCCTTGTCGGCTGTCGACGCTCTGGGGTCGCTCTGATAAATGTGATATGCTAGATCGGGTCAGAGGCGTATCGGGATCCAAGGCTAGAATGAATGATTAACCCGTATGCAACATGAAAGCCACATTTGGTCCCAATAAAAGAAATTTAGATAATGGGCGAACAGGCACGGGACGTCTTCAAGCCATTATATCGCCGGAGCAGGGCGATTCTCAGTCTCTGATAGTCTCGTCTATCAAGGCAAGTCTGGAGTATGCCCCGTTCCACTGTCTGCCCTGGCTGCCGATACGTCGCGCCTCAGCCGCCGGCCGACTGGCCGGCTGGGGCAGCTGTTGATGTCTCGGCTCTGCGCGCCGTGACGGCACGACTGCGGTATGCCGCCGGTCGGTGTGGCCGTCCATGTGTTTACCGGGCGAGCCCCTCGCTCCAGACGGGCCGGGCAGCCGTGCAGGCTCACACTCACAGACGGTCCCGGTACAACATGCCGGGTCACATACGGCCCTGGCCGTGCTGCGGGGTCACAGACAGCCCCTACTAACCGACCTGCAGGGTCACAGACAGACCCAGCTGACTGGTAGGGTCACATACATCCCCGACCTGCGGGGTCACAGACAGCCGGACACGACCCCGGCCCGGCCAGGCGCTGTTAGTGGACGATCTACCGGGGCAGACCGTGTATCTGGACAGATGCGGCGCCAGTCAGGTCAGGCGCCAGCCGTCTGGTATGAACCGAGGGTAGAACTAATGTCCAGTCTCCCCGGCCACTGATGGGTTTTTACATCTGTTCGGCCTGAGCACGTCTGTTTGCAAGGATTGATGTGTTTATTCAGCAGCTCGATATTGGTCTATTGACTGGCTGATGTATGACCGGCCGATGTGAACTCCTCTCTAAATCACTTACTGGACGGCCGCCGCGCCGACACACATGCCAGCAGTCTGACTACAGCCGGGTCACTTCGGTCAGTCTCGGTCGGTCCCAGCCACATTCCTCCGACCGCCTGACCTCCCGGACAAAGTGGCTCCCCTGTGACCTGAGACTCGGCCCGGCGCGGCACGTGACCGCCGGGCCGACTGGGTACTAAACACGCGACTTCTGGACAGCGTTCTCGGAGAAGAGATGACGTATAGTGCATGGTCCGGCAGTAAGAGCGAAGCGGTGCGGTTGGAGATGAGTTGGGGAGAGGATGTGAGGACGGACCCTTCGGCCAGTCAAACGAAGCCTGATATCTGGTGCGAGAGTCGGCCGGGGATTGTGATCAGGTAACATACTTAACAGTTCGCGCTCGACAATCTCGTACTGATATATTACGTAATCACCTTTCCTTCAGCTTTTACCTGAGGCTAACCCACTTCTGTGAACACAACCCGATTTTCCGTGTCAATGTTTTGCCGTCCCGCATCTCATAGGCTCCGAACTAGATGTTTGAAAGGCCAGGAGCAGCCGAGCACGTCTGCGAACTCGGTTCGTTTCTTGTCGCCCAGACGGCGGTGCCCTTAGGGAGCGCGCTCGTCAGACCAAGTTAGCGAGTCTGGCCGCTGTACCTTCGGGCCGTCTGCGGACCAATAAGAACACGATCCTGTTGACAGCCAATCAGCGCCAAACTTCAAATTAGATTAGAGGTGTGTGCTCAACATGCCTAGAAATACTAGCTGGCTCTCCTCTCGAGACTTCGTGTGATGCCCAAATGCTGATCGGTGTTGCATAGGGTGATACATTAACTCCACCAGTTGCGGTATTTTTTCTTGCGATGGCCGGAGCTTACCGTGTTGGCTGGTGTCAGTCAGATGGCTCGTACTAATGAGCTGCCTTCCGTCCGTCTCGCCGTGTAACTGCGTTGCTGGCATAAAATCGCTCCCGAAATCCCCTAACTGAGAGCGCCCATTTGCGTTTGGCAGTTGTCATTTCTCTCGGCCCGGAGCCCGGACGGGACGGCTCTCGTGGCTAGTGGGGGCTCTCAGAGCTGCTTCACACAGCCCGGGAGACGGCTAGCCGCTGCTCGGTGCTCACCAAACACGAAACACTATCATAGCTACTCACTACTAGACAATAGACATCATGCCATGCTCTCGTTTTTGGACGCAATGCACTACGTACGGGACCAATCTGGCCTTGCTTGTCGGTATCCAGTCTCCCGGCAGGTTCAGCCCTGTCCAGTGTCCAGGCCACCCACTGCCGACCTTCGGCTCGATGGGCGCGGAGCGACGCTGGGCGGGGAACTGTGGAACTGTCAGCGTCCATATTCGATCGGGTCCGCCCTGCCCGTCCTGCAGTCTGCGCCGGACTTGCCAGCTGAAACTCGGTTTACTACCGCTGTGGCAGCGCTCACCCTTCTCATAGCCAGCTAGGGCCGTGTTCCTTCGTGGTCATTAAACTTTCAGCTGTGGTGACCACGGACTTTCTACCATATTGGCGTGTAGGTTATCTACCAGAACGGTTAGTTCTACCTCTTTCAGTGGTGTCGGGCCGGCAGCACATTTTCAACACCATTTTCTCAGGTAGCACGCGGTATTGCATTCACATTTCCCAGGAAGCCGCCCAGTTATGTTGTTCCCACGTTATTTGTGGTTTCATTGGGCGCTCGGTCGTTTTTATGTCGAGTGTCGCCGTGATTAGCCGGCGCACCGGACCATCCGTTCGGTGTGCCGCCGGCGTCCCGTTTTCAGTCCAGGGTTTCACCGTGCTGCGGCTCGTTTCAGATGGTTTCACCCCAACATCACCGGGCTGGAGGCAGAGAGGATGCTGAAAACGCGCGGCTTCAACGGCAGCTTCCTGGCGCGCCCCAGCAAATCGAACCCGGGCGACTTCACACTCTCAGTCAGGTGAGTGCCTACTTACGGTAGGGCACTTCAAACCCAGGGGTCTAGGCAGCATGTGGTTTGCGCTTCTGAGACAGTTTGCAGTATTGCATTAGCTAGATATTTCAGACACCTAAATATATTTGCCATGGACCTAATATGTTAGAGTGTTGATGAGCCTGATCACTCGTTACAGTCCCGTTCCCACCGCCCTGGCTCTGTGTATTGCCTGTCTTCTGCGCCTGATCAGGTCATCACAGCCTCATCAGGCCGCCCGCTGTCTGTTGCTCCCCGCACCTCAGCCTGCCACTCATTCATTGACGACCGGCGCGCCGCCGTCTGACCGCGGCCCGCCCCTCCCCAGACGAAATGACGAGGTCACTCACATCAAGATCCAGAACACGGGCGACTTTTACGACCTGTACGGCGGCGAAAAGTTTGCCACGCTCTCGGAGCTGATCCAGTTCTACATGGAGAAACAGGGCCAGCTCAAGGAGAAAAACGGCGAGGTCATCGAGCTTCGGCACCCGCTCAACTGCGCCGACCCGACCACAGAGAGGTCAGTAGCCTCCTCACAGGGGGCGGGAATGTCCCAACACACCATAGAGGTCGGTAGCTTCCTCACAGGGGGCGAGATATCCCAACACACCATAGAGGTCAGAAGCCTCCTCACAGGGGGGCGGACGGGATATCCCAACACACCACATAGGTCGGTAGCCTCCTCACAGAGGGCGAGAATGTCCCAACCCGGCCACCGAGGTCAGTAGCCTCCTTGGGTGCGATGATAGTTAGTATCCCTTCCTCTACATTGATAGATTCTGATAGGTGTTACTGGGGCAAGTAATTACCACTCGTAAGTCACTGCAAACATTTTTTTTTCAACGAAACATGATCCGAACTCCCAAAGGGTTAGTTTTTTATTACTATGGACGTCAAACCGCTTGAGACCCCACTTTTTTGCGATTACTTTAAAATGCGTCAACTCACGTTGACAATATTCTGGCAATGTGTGTTTCAGAACCTGCCGAAACTTTTATTACTAAGGTATTTTGACGCCAAACGATTATGAAAGGTACTTCTCATTCACTCGTAATGTTAAATTTCACGGAACGAATCTGCTGTTTGGGTAGAGGCTACGCGCTCATGGGGCGGAGCCACGTAATGACGTCAGCGCTAAGCTCCACCCTACCCCTCCGGCGCTCCTTGCCCGGCGACCGGTCACTCGCGTCCCTCGCTCCATTCAGGCTTGATGGTGGGCGGTAGCTGGTAGCGGTAGCGGGCGCTGGTAGATGGCATTTAGAGCAGATGGCGCTGGTGGCGGGGCTCGAGTGTGGCCGAGCGCAAGCCTCTGCCCGGGCCTGAATTGACCTTAGCATTACGAGTGAATGAGAAGTACCTTCCATAATCGTTTGGCGTCAAAATACCTTAGTAATAAAAGTTTCGGCAGGTTCTGAAACATACATTGCCAGAATATTGTCAACGAAAGTTGACGCATTTAAAAATTATCGCAAAAAAGTGGGGTCTCAGCCGGTTTGACGTTCATACAGGGTCTTTCATAATGAATGTTACTTTTGAAAGAGCTATTTCTCAGGACATATATGTTCCTCATGTAATATGTACCATCACATGAAACAGAAACACATTAGCGTTTTTGCACACACAACTTTCATTTTAATGCTCCTCAGGAATTTTCCACTGTATCGCCCTTAATTAAGGCACACGTTTCGGCCCTCTGACGAAGGTGTCGACCCCGCGCCTCACAACGTCTGGGTCCAGGCTTCCAGTAAACCTCTCCACTGTGGTTCGCAGTGGATGGCTGCAGATGGGTTTTGTCTAAGATCTGCCAATGCGACTCCCCAAAACCAATAGTCCAGCGGGGAGAGGTCATGACTCCCTGGTGGCCATGGTCGCTCGGTGAGGCGGCTGATAACGCGCTCTTCGAAATTCTCGATCAGCCACTTGCGCAACAGCTGCCATGGTGTGCACTGTGGCACCATCCTGCTGGAACCACAGGCCGTCTCTTTGAACCTTGTCCCTGACCTGAGGCAGAAGCATTCCTTGAGCAGCCTGAGGTAAGCCACCCGGTTCAGTGTTGACCCAGGGGAGAGCCAATGGATGAAGACTTGTCCGTCGACCGTAATCCGTAATGCGTTTTAGTGGTGTCGACATACTCTGCTTTTCCGTGAAGGAAAATTAGCGTTGTGAATTTTTTTATTTTTTTTTTTGGGACAAAACCCTAATCAATTTGCAACAATACGCATATAAAATTCACGCGGAAGTGATAAATTAAGAGCTCCTAACTAAATGTTCAAAAGTAACATTCATTATGAAAGACCCTGTAGTAGATTGCAGTAAATTGCTTTATATAAGATTCACAGCGAGGGCTTTAGATTATAAGTTGCGGGCTGCTGTCCCTCGCTTCCATCAAAGGTCGCTAACTCATTTCGATTTAATGGAAACATTTGATCTTAAACAAGGTAATTCCAACAAGAATACCAATGGACCCGACGATGCGAACTTAAAAGTTAACGATAGACAAGCTTTTTCCACCAAGTGGTGGTGCCTTCTATGTTGCACGTTACGGTACGGTGTCACCCAGTACAATACGGAGTGTCACGGCGTGAGATACGAGGCGCAGACGCACGTCATACCGGCCAGGGGTGGAGTTTGCTCCGTTTGGGGAGGCACTGGGAATACCCCGGGCGTCGTGATGACTGTCTGTGAAGTAGTTATGTCCAAAGCCGGCGGGACCTGCCGCGCGGCGGCCCTATCGGACACATCCAAACCGAGTCTCGTTTGGGCGAGGGGCGGGCAGTGGATGTCTGGCTGTTCGCGCGTCTCAGACTGGTACGGCTGTCTGGTTAGTGCGGTTGGGAGGAATGCGTCTACAAAGCGGCGGGGGATTGCGCCGCGGAGCCGCTCTGATCGCTGTGATCAGGGCGCCTGATCGCCTGTCGAAGGTGTCGGCTGGCGGCTGTCGGATGTGTCGGTCCTGTCGGAGGTGTAGGGTCTGTCGCCGCCGCCGCTGCCGAGTGTGTGTTTTGGCCGGGCTGTCCGGCGCCGGCGGGAGTCCCTCCTGTAACTGAGGTGCCGCCCCTCGGTCCGCCGTGCGGTGGTCTGTCCCGGCCGCTCAGCACTGGGGGCCGCCGCCGGTCCTTTACCGTCCGCTCTGTGCGTGCGCTCAGCGGGCGCAGCTGCAGGCAGCGCCGGCCGCTGACCGATGTCCCGGCGATACCGGCGCACGGTGTTTGATCTGGGTGACGATTGCGCCACATTCGTGACCCGTGCGTCACGCAGTGTCAGCACGTTTCCTCCAACAAACGCCGTTTTTCTCTGTTTTGCGGGAAAAATCAATGCGAGTGGTCAGAGGGTCGGTGTTATTGCCACGTGCTATGAAAAATGTGCAGTAAAAACGGATGGCGAGTTGATGTTATGTGTCACCCATGGATACTTGTATAACGGTAACTCTTTTATACCGAGGCGGGGCGCGGTAAATAAAATACCCGGATTTACGTCACATGCTGCGTGGCTGGCCAGCTTTTTGCCTCTAACAGGACATAACTTCGTGGGGATTTCCTGTTGCGAGTCATTGCGTCAGGATGAGTTGGCGTAATTGTAGCGGTCATAATTCGAGCAATGAAGTCGGAGCGGCTCGCTGTTCAAAAAGGATACCTGTGTCTCGTCTGCTTTTGGGGTTTCTCGTCAGCTCCCACGCTATTGGCAGGATCAATCCGAGCGTGAGTTTCGAGTTGCGTGCTTCTATTTCTGTATTGAGATCACAGACACATCCTGTGTTCTCCCACCCCGTCCCGTTTGTCGGGCTGGTCCGGTCGGTATGAACACTGACCACTCGGTCACAGTACGGACCTGACTCACTGCACCTGTGCGGTGTGCGGCGTTCCGGCGGTGCGCCGCCGCTCGGCTCGTGGTGCGCCGGTTCCCGCGGCGGCGGCTGGGCCGGCGCGGTCAGCTGGTGGCCCGGCCCACAGACCGGCCGGCCGTGCCGTGCCGTGGCGTGGCGTTCTCGGTGCACCGGCCGGCCAGTCCGCCCGGGCGGCCGGTTGGACGCCGCCGCTCTGCACGGAGTGGGCACGTGCTGGTCGGTCCGCCCGGTCCTTCCTTCCCTGTCCCATTCTGTTCCGTAGTCGCCGTCCGACAGTCCGCGCTGGACACGGGCCGGCCATTGTGACACTGATGCGTGAATTTGGGCGGGCGCAGTTCACGCGGGGTGGTATGGGTTTCAGCGCGGCAGCAGTGGCACGTGGGGTCTGGTCGGGTCTACCTTTCAGTTGTACACTTTGCAGTCTTCCGTGTCAGCTGTGGCCGTTCACCCTCAGCCCCCGGTCACACAGCTTTGTATGATTGACGGACCGGGCAGGCCCGCCGCGGCAGCTCGGCTCCAGAGCTCGTTTGGTGCGGTGCTTGTGTTGACAGCCGAGCTCGCCACACTCGGAGGCGGTAGCTGGTCCGCCTACGTACCGGGGATTTCCGGCTGTCTATCTTTGTTCTCGGCACAAAAACACCGGGTCGAGTGCGCCGACATATCGGCTGGGGGTCGCGGCGCTGCGTCTGTTTCCACGCCGACTGGGGGTGGGGAGCCGGGTCACGGCGGGGAGTGGAGGGTCGGACGGAGGTCTGTGGGTCGGACGAAGGTCTCCTCTCTCTACTCTGGGTCGGACGGAGGTCTCCTCGGGGTCGGACGGTGGTCTCCACTCTGGGGCTGTCCACTGCAGGTCGGACGGAGCCCGGAGGTCTCCCCTCTGGGTCGGTCGGAGCCCGGAGGTCTCCAGTCGGGGTCGGGCGGAGCCCGGAGGTCTCCAGTCGGGGTCGGACGGAGCCCGCAGGTCTCCACTGCGGGTCGGGCGGCTCGCGGCGGCCGCCGCCCGCGTGCATGTCGCCGGAACCGGTTATGCCGGCAGCTGGGCCGGCGCGGCGGCCGGGCTGGTTGGCCGGCCGGGCGGCGCTCACACGGCAGTCGGCGGCGGCAGCCGGCGGACGGGGCAGTTTGGGACCGGGGGTGGGGAATAGGACCTATACTGACACCGGCACTGGCAGCGGCCAGCGGAGCCGACAATCGTTCCGACACGTATTGGGTCCCGCGCGAATGCCGGCAGCGACGGCGAGGTGGTCACGAACTTGACACCAGTTGATCGAGATGGTGTATTCAGAGTGCCGGAACCGATACTGATACCGATACCGATACCGACACCGATACCGATACCGATACCGATACCGATACCGATACTGCTACAGAAACGAAACTGATACATATTTATATTTCCATGCTGACATTGAATATCAATAGAGATACTAATACCGATTTAGACATGAATAAATACCGGTAATGCCACCCACAGTTTGTTCACCTGTGAATTGTGAAACTAGCCAACCGAGTCTTTACAACTGTGCTACCGGAAGATCATTTTCCTGTGTCTGTTGCACTGGACAAGGATTTGTGCAAAAGTGGTGAATTAAATGCAGAATGGCATTTATGCTAGCTTGTGCCCCCTACAAAACCGATGGATCTCGCTAAGCCGAATAAATAAGTGACGAGAAGCG